GAGAATATTTCATCCTCATTCAATGGTCTTAAGTATTAACTTCTCGACATGATACTGTATCAGCATTATTGAAAAACCCACCAGCAAACAACCCCACTATCTCTCTTTACCCTTTATTTGATCAGAATTCTTCAAATAATCTAATTCTGCTCACACTAATTCATTTTCATTGCTTACGTAAAAGTTTTTTTTTTTTTTTTCCTTCAAAGGGCTTTGACTTTGGCGTCTCCAATTTCTAACAAGAACATAAACAATAAAGCAAAAGAGCAGTACCCAAGAAGAGCAGGACATCCGGGTAAAAAGGGTCGCGAACGATGGTGTCCATGATGTCAAAGAGGCAGTATGGGGAGCTTTCTCTGTTGAGTTTGTCCACTCAAGAGGCCATGAGGGGCCTTTTTGTGATGTTTTTAAAGCTGGGATTTAAAGAAATTCTTTGGTTTTCTAGAGGAAGGTTTTAGAGGGATTGCTGTCGTTGAACCCAGTGGTGTAGGTACTCTCATAGACAGTGCTGCCATTCAGACTGTAGTCCGAATTGTGTGTGGGTTGGGTTTGTTTTGTGTTGGTTCCGGGAAAATGAAGTTGTATTATCATTTTAGTCCCTGTTGTTGTTTATTCTAGGTTTAATTTTGACCTACCCTTACTTTTATTAGAATTCTAAAATATCTCCCTAGTCTGGAAACTATCCATCACGTTTTGTTCCTGTAAAGTTGTATTGTACTATGTGATGATTCAGGGATAGTTCAATAGAACCAGCCGCTTGCGAGCTGGCTCGGCTCGGCGCATTAACGATTCGATTGGTGAATTCGAGCCAGTTTACTCAGTTTGTGAGAGGTTACGGAGCCGAGTTAGATCCTGACTCGGCTCTCGGCTCGTTAGCTAGCGAGCCGAATCAGGCTCAAACTCGTAAGGGCATTTAGGGTTTTTAAAGTAAGGGGGATAAAAAAAAATTCAAAAGGAAATGTTTAAAAATGAAAAAAAATCCCCCCTTTTTAAGCCGTAAGAACACGACTCCACCACTGTTTGTTGTAAACCCAATAGAGTTAACAATTTAGGCAAGTGTAAGCGCCTCTAGTTTCTTCTTTCCTCTGTCTTCAGCGGCTTCGAGTCTCCTTCAAATCTCGCCGTCAAACGGCTCAAACCCATCTCTTCGCCATTGTCTGCTTCATGAGGTCTCTTTCAAATCTCGTCGTCAAACCGACCTAAACTCATCTGCTTCGGTGTCGTTTGCTTCGTGGGGTCTCCTCAATCTCGTTGTCAAACGACTCAAACCCATCTGCTTTCGTCGTCGTCGTCGTGTTTTCGGCTTGTCGCAGATGACAACCTTTCAAATCTCGTTGTCGCAGTCGACGTCAAGTTGTTGTCTTGCTGAAGGTGTCAGCTTGTAAAGGTAATTATTTATGTGTGTTATTTTGGTCACAGATATGAATGTTATCTTGGTTTTAGTTTGATTAATTTAATACATACAAAGTCACACTCACACCAAAACGAAAGACCCCATTCATCTTGGTTTTTATATCTGTTTATTATCGACCATCAATTCAGTTATCAAATATACCATCAATGCATTAGCAAAATATTTGATAACTAAATTGAGATGCCCAGGCCCAGAAAATATTTGCTGCATGGTGAGGACCTCAGAACCAACCATAACTATCTACTCTAATTTATAAAAAAAACTGCAGTTTTTCTTTTTGCTGGCTCGCGAACCGCTCGAACTCAACTCGTTAAGTCCATTTGCAAGCCTGGCTTAAAATCCATTTCCCTTACACGAGCCAATCCAAGCCAAGAATTCACACTCGGTCGAAAATAGCTCAGGTGTGGAATGCAGCAACATTTCTTTTTACTCTTGCACTTCCTTCTTGATATAGTGGATAAAGACAGTTTAAAAAAGAAAAAAAAAAAAAAAAAAAAAAAAAAAAAAAGGAAGGGGGTGGGGAGGAGGGGGGGTTGTGCAAGCCTACAGTTTTTATAACAAATCAAATAAAGTCAAATATCAGAAGAGTAAGGCTCCGTTTGGTTCACATTTTGCATTTTTGAGAAAAGTTTTTTGAAAAAAGTTAAAAAAAGTTGAATTGGGCGGGTATTACGATGTAAGATTTACACATTAATAAAATACCCCATATGTTTTTTATTTACAAACATCTCGATAATAAAACAATAAAAGTTAACAAAAACACCCTCACCTATCCTCAAATACGGACAGCAGGCCCCACTATTGGAGGGTGGCTGGAGTCCCGCATAGGCGCATGACCGACTGGATCTTGCCATCGTGCGCGATAGGCCTTTTCTAGCTACCCTCGGTGGATCTGGCCGGCAAAGGCCAGATCTACGGCTAATCTGGCCATGACGGCCAGATCTGGCTGTATTTGCTCGTCAATGTCAACGACAGCCACAACGATCGCGTTGATGGTCAATGACTACTGTTTGTTGGCCGTCGTTGACGTTAAACGAGCAAATCCGCCAAGATCTGGCCTTTTCGATCAATCCATTGTGAATTGGTCGAAAAAGGCTAGATCGACGCACTACCAGCCATATCACCGGTAGTGTGCGCCATCTCATCAGATTCCAGCCATTTCCGACGGTAATGGCCAAAATCTGGTAAATGTGATTTCTGGGGTGTTTTTTAAATTTTTAAAAAAATATTTAGGGTATTTAATTAAATTAACAAATTTAGGGTGTTAAAAAAAGTTAAATAATATTGTGAGTTTTTTTGGTATTTTACTGTTTAACTTTTTTTGGAATCTAATAATAGTAATTCCCAAAAACAACCAAATGAGCCAAAGAGCTTTCACCCAAGTTGTCTTATTGACACTTCCCACCCAAAGTTTATTATTCAAAATACCTTTGTATTATAAAATATGAATGAAAACTATTAAATAGAGAATGCTATGCGTCTCACGGATCTACTACCTCTTATTACCTTTGTAAAATTACATATGGTACCCATACTATGCTTGTGGTACCCATATTATGTTTTATTATAAAGGTAAGTATGATGTTAGTACACTGTAGTACGCATAGTATTACTTTAAAACTTTGAGCTCCGTATACTAAAACGTGTTTTAATTTTAGCGGTGTGTTTTGTAATAAATAAACAAGTAGAAGGCCCGAAAATAAAAGCGTAAAAATAGAGAGCTGAAATGAAAAACTCTATAACTTTTTCTCACATTGTGTTGTGTGTTTACAGGAGAAAGTGGGGTTTATTTATCCAGCCAGCCGCCACTAGAACAAATAAACTTTACATGCTTAAGTGTATCCTGTCATTTGAGTATCTACGAGGCCCATGTGTTATAGTCTAGGTACTGACAGTTTGGTGGATGCCCACCATTTACATTACAGTTTTATATAACAAAAGAGTTTCTAGTTTGTTTCTTATTCACGCTCAATAAAAGTGAAAGGGTGACTTCCTGATTAGCAAATTAGACATTTGATATAATCTTTTAACTTCAAGAGATTGATCCGACGGTCAAAGAGTTTGTTCATTTTATTGACTTTTAAGTTCGACTCTGAGGCCATCTATCTACACTTGTGGCTTTGTTACTATTATCCTTGTAAAGATAGCTTAACAATTCAAGGGCCAAGGTTAAACCTACCCCAATCTCGATTTGAAACACACGTACATTTGTACTCAACTTCAACTCTAATCCTTGCCTTCAGTTCTAGGGGGCATCTTTTCCCACCAACCCTAAAATTTTCCAAGATCCCCTTGTCCAATAACTGGATTTTTCGAGCTAACCGATCCCGTCTAGTATTTTTGCCAAACCTAACACTGACCAGTGGTTACAATACCTTAGCAAAATCTGAAAGTGATAAAGGTCAATAATAATTAAAGTAAAATGTTTGGGAAATATCAAAATTGAGCAAAAGCTCAAGGGGAAATCAAATGACATTAAGGGATTTTATTACAAGACATAATGTCCCAATTCTAATATTATTGCTATACACAGCGCTAGTTATAACTTATTTCAATGTATAAGAAATTCAATAACAAACCAGGAATAAATTTATTAATTACATTCTCTTTTTATAGCAAACTTCGCCGGAATGCTTATCAGAGTTGCCGACCGGGACAGGAATTATTGCCGGACTCTACAATCTTGATAACTGGAAACTTATGGATATGAATATGTTGCGTAGGTGGCCTCAAGCAGATGAGTTTAACAACTCGTCTTGTACACTTTCAAATAATAGTAAACTGCTCTCCTGCTGTTGCTAGATCACTTGTAAAATCATGTCGTCATTTTCACATTGTTGCAGTAGTTCATTACTCGGGATTATACAGCTGGCCAGCAGCTAAACGCAGATGCTTTACAGCTTCAGCCTTGCGACCTACATATATAAGCACGGAAAACCCATAGTTGTGCCCAAACAATAGACCTAAATTGTAATGACGATAGTTGATCAATTCTGAGACAAGCAATTATCAGTTTTATAAGTAAAAATCTTGAGAAAATGATTGTAAATTCATACCTTGAAGTAATACCAATCCATCATATAATGGGCTTTGGAACTTTTTTTCCTCTGGCTCTTCCAAATTGCAATTCTTTCCAGGTGTACATTCCTTCAGCCATTTTCCCCTGTAACATACAGAAAAGTGAAACAAACAAAAGAAAATGATGCCTTTTTTCATCGAGTAATATAATTTAAGCCTGCCGACCCAACTCGAAGTTCACAAGTGGCCCAGGGCTGGGTCCTAAAATTGAACTCAAATCGTAGCATAAATTTGAGAATAATATGTTATGCTCATAGCCTTTTATTTCAGAAAAGCATCACTGATTTTACCTGTCTTATATAGCAACACAGCGCACCGAGAAGCAACAATTTAGGAATCATATTTTCAACTTCTGTGGGATTGGCGGAGATGAAGACTGATGGATGTCAAAGAACAGGTTTTAGTTATGACCTACCAGATGTTGATATAAGCAGAAAAAATACTTTCAAATTTCCTGTCTTATATGCTCTTCCAACATAATAATACCTTGTCTTTAAAATTCTGTAATTACCAAAAATCATGTATAAAGCATGCTTCCCGCCTATATAAATCCTACTTTATATACTAAACATCTGATTGTGAAAAAACATAAGATAACTAAATTAAACTAGACGAACCTTGGAGATAGCATGCTCCAACTATTCAATAGCCTCCGCTAGCAGTCCTTTCTGCAGTTGAGTCTGCCCCATAACTATCAAAGCATTTATGTAATCAGGATCCTTATCAAGCACCAGTCTGTCATCAAACATTAACCACTTAGTGCAACAACTATTATTCGATGTTTTAATAACAAAAAAACTACAGGAGGCAGAGGGAAGGAAAGGAGGCATAAGAAGAGAAAGTTACTGCAAAAAAGAAAATGCTCTTTCTTTCTGTCCTTTTGACAAGTGTTTGACTGAAAGCTGTCCAGAATCCAAACAACAAAGATGTAAGACAACATGCAACACAATCCTTAACATTCAAATTGTCGGTGAGGTTCTGAGGTTAGTCACTTACAGCTACCAGTTTCTCTAGGGTTAGGTACTTGACAGATATTTTGCGTTGCTTTGCAGGGGAATCCAAATGTTTTTCAGGATTATCAATTTCTTCAGATTTTTCCAGTGCTGATGGAGCATCCTTGTCAGGTAACCCCAACTTTGCATGAGTAGGATGTTTGAGGGATAATTGTTGCAAAGTTGATTATGAATTCACACACTAGACCAGCTAAAACATATCACACATAGGAACGAATTCTTTCCAAAAAAGAAAATTGCAATAACTACCTAAGTCATACTAAATGTGCTATTAGTAACCCAATAAGACGACCCAGCAAATCAAGGCAAATAAATTGGTGAGTATACCCAGCACAATGTCAGGGGAACTTCCCTATCAAATACAAACCTTTCTGATAAGGGTAAAGACCAGCATAGAAAAAGAAATTAAAATGAAATAGATAGCAGTGTTTTCACAATCCAATAGGCCATTGGCATTATCTGTATTTATGTATCAACTTTTGCCCATTCAGCCGAGGATGAGGTAACATATATGAACCACTTAGTTTGAATGGTCCCTAAATCAGTTATGCGATTAGGAATCTATCCTATGAGCTTAAATTCTGAGATTAATGATTACTCAATAAACTGTGGACAAATACAAGAACAAAAACAAATTTCACTTTGAATCTCAATAAACAATAAAAATATCCAAGAAGCTAAGCGAAAAGGGAAATCTGATTTAAAATCATGGAACATAATTTCAAAGTAGAAATGAAGGTAGAATATTTTACCTAAGGAATACAATAGCCAATAAAAAATAAAGGTAGCATCCAGACATCCAAATATCTCTTGTAATACTGCAATAAGGAAGATAAATAATTTGTACTAAATATGGTATAAATATTACAGGGGAAATTATATGCCATTCTTATTCTCACAATTGACGTGAACATAAAATATGGACAGTAAAAAATTTAGAATGTAATAATATAGCAGTAAGCAAACCTAAACAAAACTGTTCACAACTCATTTTTGCCGATAAGCCATGCTTCTTATTTTCCAAGTGAAGATTTACTAAAAGAAATCTGGAAAATATATCAAACAAGTAATAAGATGACCAATGAATATTAATTCACAATTCTATCACTATTGGAAAGATGGGGCCTAAAAGACCATGAGGGAATTCAGTCAAGTTCTGGAACCACAAAGTCCCACCCTGCAATAAATTCCATGGACAGAGCATCATACATTCTATGCTCCTATGGCAAAATAACATCACATTCAAAAAAAAATATGAGACATATGCAGGGGAACGAAAAGCAAAAAGAGTTTCATTGATGAGAATATTAAAGATAAAACAGAGATCTTGGCAACCAAATTAAGAATTGTAAACTGTTTCATTCAGTATAAAACTAATAAGATGAGAACCAACAAAAACTATAGAAATAAGATGTGTAATTGTCATATGTCATCATTATAAAATTTATGCTACATGTTGCAAGAAGCATGGCCAAATTGTATGGTTCAGAAACATATCAAGTCATTTGTAATCCAAAAGAAAGTAATAACAAGATAGGTAACAATAAAAGATATTAATCTATGAATACATAAAGACGATATTACTATAGTAAGCATTAATACATATATATTTATTGTTCTATACAAATATTTAAGCATGTTAGTGCCTTACACGATCAAACCCTGGATGACCCTCCAGTGAAATTTTCCGAATTCTGGTCACACCTAAGAGAAAACATGGGACCTGAAGAATTGAACAAAACACAACAAAATAAATAAGTACAAAATTTATTCAACCAAACTATGTACTAGGCTACTGTTGTTTAAAGTTTCAGCCTAAAAGACAGAAGACAAATACATCAAAATACCACAAGAATTAAGAAAAAAAAAGCAAAGAAAACAATAATAGTACAGAAATAACTGGCTCTCTATATAGATTCCAGGCTTTTGAATCTAACTCAAAATCCTCTAACCAACATCTATCTATTTCTTTCAGTTAGAAGATGTGTATTTCTTTCTCTGTCTGTGTGTCTTGGCTTGAGATGGGAGAAGAAAGGTAAAGTTATTTACACAATATATTTAGCTGTGTCACCTGGATGGACAAGGAGGCAAGGAACCACAGAAATGAGGGGCACCCCCTTGCTTTTGCTTCCCTCGGAAAAAGTGAAATTTGATCAATGAAACTCCTTCCTGACTGAGGTGGTGGCAATGGAGGAGGCACTATGAGAAGTGCATATGAGAGTCAAAAAAAAAAATTTATTGCAAATTAAATATATGAACAACAATGAAAGGAGGAGGGAGAATGACCCTGCAAGAATTCCAGAAGAACAAAACACATATACATCCAATTTAATATGTGTGGGTAAGAAAGCGAGTTCATGGTATCAAGCAACTTAAACTAGTGAACATACCTATGGACAGGAACAAAATGTCCATGATAAGTAAGTTGAGATTTTTAATTTGTCCTCAATTATTCTGTACCTACAAAACATTTTTCAAGAAAAATGATGAGCCATCCACTGTCAAAGGAACTGCCTTTGAAAAAACTGAAGATGCAACATTGAAATTTTGGAGCTGATAGTTTTACTGATGAAACTGACGCTTTGGATTTGAATTTGCTTTCCGATTACCATCGAGAGAAATTAAAACTCAACAATACTAAATATAGTTTCAACTATAATCAAACAACATAAGTGTCTTTAAGTTGATCATGTACTCTATAAATTGAAAGGCAACTAATCGGTTTAGTGAAGCGGCTGGCGTGCGCGCTACGAGCTGGAGATTCCTCCATCTCACTGGCCACCATTTTGATAAAATGTTTTCATCAATCCAATTTGGGAGGTTTTAGCTTCATGTACCTTATAGACATAAAAAACAATAAAAATAAAAATTGATACATCTTGCAGGAAGAGAGCTGATTAGAGGACAAAGAAGAAAATTGCTTATTCTTGTATGGAATGAGGATTGGCTAATGGATATGAAAGGTATTTATGCATACATAGAGGAAATGTTTTACATTCATAAAAAGTCTTTAAACCAATTAGATGGGCACTCTCTGCAGAAGATATACAGCATGTGTGGGATACTCACTTTCCACTAACTTCAGTGTTTACAGAAATTTTAAGCAACGGGAGTTATGTATTACCATATATCTTAAAAGAAAGAAGTTCGTGCATAAATTTCTTTTTTCTGTGCTTAGGTTGGTCAAAAGACCCTCCAAAAGTAAAAACCAAGTTCACCTACACAGATAGGAAATTAGTGGAAAGCATGCATCTCATAGTTGTTTTGTTTTAAATCAAAAAGCAATTTAACACCTTCTATGTAATAATATCTCCTTCTCATACAATTTTAAGTCCTGCAGAGATTTTAGTTAAAATTAGTATTTACAAATAAGGACGGATAGATCCATAGAAGAAAGAGAACATAGAGCATATAGCATATCCAAGGAATAGTCATTCAGAAATAAAGAAAATCAGTATATCTGCAATTGATACTCAAAATATTACAATAAAATACAGTGTTTCACTTGTAATTTGATTAATTGGTGGAAAGGATAAGAAAGACAGGCTAAAGTGATTCATGACATAAAGAAAAATTACAAACAAAATGATAGATACAGATCACTAACCAGTACAAAAATTGCTATTGAATAAGACTTAGATTTTAGTTGGATAAAAAGTTAATTAAAAATTTATTATCAATTATTCAAATTTGCTTGGCTCACATATGTAACCAACACTTGTTTGAGAAAAGAATCTAAACAAATAATGCAGTTACCAACATGTAAGAAAAGAAATAACAAATATAAGTTGCATTGTTACTGAAGCAAAACTCGGTTATAAAAAAGAATACATTTCATATGATTTCTGTTCTAAAGTTCAAAACAATTTTCAGGCAAAACCCAGAACATGCTCTCTGCTCTAAAATGGCAGGCACTAGATTGTCAAAGCTCATAAAAAGAGAAAACTACCACCTTCCAAAACGAAAGGCCTTCGTCTTTAAAGAATTTTCTGGCAACTCCATCTAAAATAAGACAAAAACATTAGTATAGGACATTTGATAGGGACCAAAAGCAAAGAACAGCTCATTTAGATGATCAATTGATGTAAATTAAGAAAGCAATAGAGTGGATTTTATAGCAGAAGGGAGTTATTCAGGCTAAAATCATCAAATTTACATGACGAGAGTATGAGAGAAATTTCCAAAAAAACAGGGGCAATTACTTTGCAAGATATCCTCAACTTTTGGGAGGAGAGACACACTCCACATTTCCGACAAGTTAAACAATCCGGAAATAGTGATTATTGATCAGCAAGTTTAAATTCCAAAATCCAACTTGTGTTTCAATGCAATCCCAGACTTCGAAATATAAAAAAGGACACACAAACACAGAAAGAAACAAAAACATAACCATTATGCAATCAAAATATATACAAGGATATAAAATCCTTTAATGACTTTTCAAATTTCAAACATGAATGACAATTACATAATAAAATTGATCACTCAGCATTCTATACATACAAATTTAATCATTCAATACTACAAATGATGCCTCAAATTAATTTAACTGAAAAATGAGTTCTTTCAACTGAATGAAAGATAATATTTGGACAAAGTGTCGCACATACCTCATCAATCAGCCCCTTTGAATTCAAGCATGCAGTTGGGTGCTGCATTCTATTAGTTCTTCATAGGCATTTGCGCATAAATTCTCATTTTGATTATGCAATCTAATATAAGGAAAAACTGGAAGATAAAGAGAAAGGCATGCTGAGTATCCAAATACTGTTTCTGAAAACTCCAACCTAATGTATTTTCCTGAGATTCATATCTATTTGTTTCCAAAAAGTAAAAAAACTGTACCTTGTAAAATAAAAAATAAATTCTGTATTTTAGCAAGCTCAGCAATCATAACACAAATAGGCAAAGCAATGGCCAATAAGGCATCAACAAAAGTTATCTTCATCACCATGTTAGCACGTGTCCTAACAAGTCTCTGGTGAATAAGCACAACATCTCACACAAAACAAGATGCATCAATGCATTAGATGCGGTCGTCTATTACCTTTATAGACCCTAACTCAAGATGATAATGATACTTTATGAGTTTCTACGGATTGGAAGCATTTATTCTAGGCGTTAACTAAGCTCAACAGTCTTTTGATCATCTTAAAGTAAGAGAAGTGCAGAAAGATGCCACCATTTCATCAGAAACTTTCTGAAGTTGCAAAAATCATCAACCTCCCCAAAAATTCCCAAAAACATTTAAAACTAAGTCTATAAAATTTATCATAACTAAAACCGCAAACACAACACCACTACAATCAAGAAGCTTTTCTTTTTATGTTATAATATCAGCAACAATTAAATTACACGATTCTCAATTGTAAATAAGAGATGGTATGGTTATATTTTAAATTATCGCATCAAAATCAACCGTTAACCAAAAAATAATATTCATCCTCATTGAATATGTTAACTCTCCATACAATACAATACCAACATTATAGAAATAACCATGATATTTAAAGAAACATTTATTCTCTAAGTTTTAAAAGATTATCAGAAACTACCATAAAAAAAAAAGTCTCCACATATCTCTAAACCAAACAATCTACTCTTACGAAGCTTTCCCTTTCTTAGATATAATCACATCAACATTGAAAAGTAGCATGAAAACTGAGAATATTCATCCTCATTCAATGGTCTTAAGTATTAACTTCTCGACATGATACTGTATCAGCATTATTGAAATAACCACCAGCAAAAACCCCACTATCTCTCTTTACCCTTTATTTGATCAGAATTCTTCAAAATAATCTAATTCTGCTCACACTAATTCATTTTCAGTTACGTAAAAGTTTTTTTTTTTTTTTCTTCAAAGGGCTTTGACTTTGGGCGTCCCATTTCTAACAAGAACTAAAAAAATAAAGCAAAAGAGCGAGTACCCAAAGAAGGCAGGGACATCCTGGTAAAAAGGGTCGCGAACGATTGTGTCCATGATGTCAAAGAGCAGTATGGGGAGCTTTCTCTGTTGAGTTTGTCCATCAAGGAGGCCATGAGGGGCCTTTTTGTTGTTTTTAAAGCTGGGATTTAAAGAAATTCTATGGGTTTTCGAGGAAGGTTTTAGAGGGATTGCTGTCGTTGAATCAGTGTGGTAGGTACTCTCATAGACAGTGCTGCCATTCAGACTGTAGTTCCGAATTGTGTGGTGGGTTGGGGTTGTTTTTGTTGGTTCCGGGAAAATGAAGTTGGATTATCATTTTAGTCCCTTGTTTTTTGTTTAATTCTAGGTTTAATTTTTGACTACCTTACTTATTAGATTCTAAAATATTCCCTAGTCTGGAAACTATCCATCACGTTCTTGTATGTATAAGTTGTATTGTACTAGTGATGATTCATAGGATAGTTCAATGAAACGAGCCGCTTGCGAGCTGGCTCGGCTGGCTCATTAACGATTCGAATTGGTTGAATTCGAGCCAGTTTAACTCAGTTTGTGAGAGGTTACGAGCGAGTTAGATCCTGACTCGGCTGGCTCGTTAGGCTAGGAGCGAATCAGGCTCAAACTCGTAAGGGCGATTTAGGGTTTTAAAGTAAGGGGGATTAAAAAAAAAAAATTCAAAGGAAAATTTTCAAAAATGAAAAAAAATCCCCGATTTTTAAGCGTAAGAACACGACTCCACCACTGTTTGTTGTAAACCCAATAGGAGTTAACACATTTTAGGCAAGTGTAAGACGCCTCTAGTTTCTTTCTTGCGTCATCTTGCTTCGTGGAGTCTTTTCAAATCTCGCCGTCAAACGGCTCAAACCCTCGCTTGCCATGTCTGCTTCATGAGGTCTCTTTCAAATCTCGTCGTAAACGACCTAAACTCATCTGCTTCGGGTGTCGTTGCTTCGTGGGGTCTCCTTCAATCTCGTTGTCAAACGACTCAAACCCATCTGCTTCGTCGTCGTCCGTCGTGTTTTCGGCTTGTCGCAGATGACAACCTTTCAAATCCGTTGTCGCAGTCGACGGTCAAGGTTGTTGTCTTGCTGAAGGTGTCAGCTTGTAAAAGGTAATATTTAGTGTGTTATTTTGGTCACAGATATGAATGTTATCTGGTTTTAGTTTGATTAATTTATACATACAAAGTCACACTCACACACAAACGAAAGACCCATTCATGGTTTTTATACTCTGTTTATTCGACCATCAATTCAGTTATCAAATACCACAATGCATTATGCAAATATTTGATAACTAAATTGATGACCCGGTCCCAGAAAATATTTGCTGCATGGTGAGGACCTCTAGAACCAACCAATAACTATCTACTCTAAATTTAAAAAAAAACTGCAGTTTTTCTTTTTTGCTGGCTCGGAACCGGCCGAATCAACTCGTTAAGTCCATTTGCAAGCCTGGCTTAAAACCATTTCCCTTACACGAGCCAATCCAAGCAAAGAATCACAGCTCGGGTCGAAAATAGCTCAGGTGATGAATGCTAGCAACATTTTCTTTTTACTCTTGCACTTCTTCTTGATATAGTGTATAAAGCAGTTAAAAAAGAAAAAAAAAAAAAAAAAAAAAAAAAAAAAAAGGAAGGGGGTGGGGGAGGAGGGGGTTGTGCAAGCCTACAGTTTTTATAACAAAATCAAATAGAAGTCAAATATCAGAAGAGTAAAGGCTCGTTTGGTTCACTATTTTGCATTTTGAGAAAAGTTTTTTGAAAAAAGTTAAAAAAAAGTGAATTGGGCGGGTATACGATGTAGATTTACAAATTAATAAAAACCCCATATGTTTGTTATTTCACAACATCTCGATAATAAAACAAAAAAGTTAACAAAAACACCCTCAACCTATCTCAAATACGGAAAGCAGGCCACCACTATTGGGGGTGGTGGAGTCGCCGCATAGGCGCATGACCGACTGGATCTTGCCAGTCGTGCGCCGATATGGCCTTTTCTAGCTACCCTCCGGTGGATCTGGCCGGCAAAGGCCAGATTACGGCTAGATCTGGCCAGGACGGCCAGATCTGGCTGTATGTGCTCGTCAATGTCAACGACAGCCAACAAACGATCGTCGTTGATGGTCAATGGCTGTTTGTGGGTCGTTGACGTTAACGAGAAATACGGCCAAAGATCTGGCCTTTTCCGATCAAATCCATTGTGAATCTGGTCGAAAAGGCAGATCGACGCACTACCAGCCAGTCACTGTGCGGTAGTGCGCCATCCTATCAGATTAGCCATTTCCGACGGTAATGGCCAAAATCTGGTAAATGTGGATGCTGGGGTGTTTTTAAATTTTTAAAAAAAATATTTAGGGGAGTTAATTAAATTAACAAATTTAGGGGGTTTAAAAAAAGTTAAATAATATTGTGAGTTTTTTGGTATTTTACTGTTTAACTTTTTTGGGAATACTAATAATAGTATTCCCAAAAACCAACCAAATGGAGCCAAAGACTTTCTACCCAAGTTGTCTTATTGACACTCCCACCCAAAGTTTTATTTAAAAATAACTTTGTATTATAAAATGAATGAATAAAACTATTAAACTAGAGTAATGCTATGCGTACTCACGGTCTACTAACCATATTATAACCTTGTTAAAATTACATATGGTACCAACTATGCTTGTGGTACCCATATTATGTTTATATTTATAAAGGAAGTATGATGGTTAGTACACTCGTAGTACGCAAGTATTATTGTAAACTTATTGAGCTCCTTATACTAATAACGTGTTAAATTTTAGCGGGTGTGTTTGTAATAAATAAACTAAGTAAGAAGGACCGAAAATAAAAGCGTAAAATAAGAGAGCTGAAATGAAAAATTCTATTAACTTTTTCACAATTGTGTTGTGTGTTACAGGAGAAAGGGGGGTATTTATACAGCCAGCCGCCCACTTAGAACAAATAAAACTTTGACATGCTTAAGTGTATTCCGTCATTTGAGTATCATAACGAGGCCATGGTTATAGTCTAGGTACGTGACAGTTTTGGTGGATGCCACATTTACATTAACAAGTTTATATTATAACAAAAGAGTTTCTAGTTGGTTCTTATTCCACGCTCAAAATAAAAGTAAAGGGTGACTTCCTGATTAGCAAAATTAGACATTTGATATGAATTCTTTTAACTTCAAGGAGATTGATCCGACGGTCAAAGAGGTTTGTTCATTTTATTGACTTTTAAGTTCGATCTTGAGGCCATCTATCTACTTGTGGCTTTTGTTACTATTATCCTGTATAAGATAGCTTAACAAATTTCAAGGGCCAAGGTTGAGAACTACCTCCAATCTCGATTTGAAACACACGTACATTTGTAGCTCAACTTCAAATCTAATCCTTGCCTTCAGTCTAGGGGGGCATCTTTTCCCACCAACCCTAAAATTTTCCAAGGATCCTGTTCCAATAAGACTGGATTTTTCCGAGCTACCGATCCCGTCTAGTATTTTGCCAAACCTAACATGAACAGTGGTTACCAATACCTTAGCAAAATCTGAGAAGTGATAAAGGTCAATAATAATAAAGTAAAATGTTGGGGAAATAATCAAAATTGAGCAAAAGCCCAAGGGGAAATCAATGACATTGAAGGGAGTTTATTACAAGACATAATGTCCCAATTCTAAATTATTATTGCTATACCAAAAGCTAGTTATAACTTATTTCAAGTATAAGACAATTCAATAACAAACAAGGAATGAAATATTTAATTCACATTCTCTTTTTATAGCAAAACTTCGCGGAATGCTTATCATGAGTTGAACCGACCGGACAGGAAATTATTGCCGGACTCTACAATTTGATAATTGGAAACTTATGGGATATGAATATGTTGCGTAGGGGCCTCAACAGATGAGTTTACAACATGTCTGTACACTTTACAAATAAATTAGAAACTGCTCCTGCTGTGTGCTAAGATCACTTGTAAAATCATTGTCGTCATTTTCACATGTTGCAGTAGTTCATTATACTCGGGATTATAAGCAGCTGGCCAGCGCTAAACGAGATGCTTTACAGCTTCAGCCTTGCGACCTACATTATATAAAGCACGGAAAAACCCAGTGTTAGGCCCAAACAATAGACCTAAATTGTAATGACGATATTGATCAATTCTGAGCAAGCAAAATATCAGGTTATAAGTAAAAATACTTGAGAAATGATTGTGTAAATTCATACCTTGAAAGTAATCCAATCCATCATAATAATGGGCTTGGAACTTTTTTCCTCTGGCTCTTCAAATTGCAATTCTTTCCAGGTGTTACAATTCCTTCAGCCATTTTTCCCTGTAACATACAGAAGAAAGTGAAACAAACAAAAGAAAATGATGCCTTTTTTCATCGAGTAATATATATTTAAGCCTGCCGACCCAACTCGAAAGTTCACAGTGGCCCATGGCTGGTCCTAAAATTGAACTCAAATCGTAGCATAAATTTGAGAATAATATGTTGCTCATAGCCTTTTATTTCAGAAAAGCATCACTGAGTGTTTACCTGTCTTATATAGGCAACACAGGCACCGAGAAGCAACAATAGGAGATCAATATTTCAACTTCTGTGGGATTGGCGGAGATGAAGAGCTGATGGGATGTCAAAGAAAAAGGTTTTAGTTAATGAAATCAGATGTTGATATAAGCAAGAAAAAATACTTCAAAATTTCCTGTCTTATATGCTCTTTCCAACATAATAATACACTTGTATTTAAAATTCTGTAATACCAAAAATCATGTATAAAGCTGCTTCCCGCCTATAAAATCCTACTTTATATACTAAAATTGATTGTGAAAACATAAGATAACTAAATTAACTAGACGGACCTTGGAGATAGCACATTCAACTATTCAATAGCCTCCGCTAGCAGTCCTTCTGCAGTTGAGGTCTGCCCAAACTATCAAAGCATTTATGTAATAGGATACTCTCAAGCACCCGTCGTCATCAAACGTTAACACTTAGTGCAACAGCTACATTCGATGTTTAATAACAAAAAAAATACAGAAGGCGAGGGAAGGAAAGGGGGCATAAGAAGAGAAAGTTACTGCAAAAAGAAAATGTTTTCTTCTGTCTTTGACAAGTGTTTGACTGGAAGCTGTCCAGAATCCAAACAACAAAGAGTAAGACAACATGCACACAAACCTTAACATTCAAATTGTGGGTGAGGTTCTGAGTTTAGTCACTTACAGCTACCAGTTTCTTAGGGTTAAAAATTATATATAAAGTACTTGAAAAACATAAAGTATAGGAAAGAGGTTTTTGTTATATTTGAAATTTATAGGGACTGATTGAAATTATTTAGGAGTGTTTTTACAATATTTCAAAAATTTAGATTCTAATTAATTATTTTGCGCATTTTAAAAATAAATTAAAATTTAAGGGACTAATTTACAGTTTTTAAAAAATACTTCTGATGCTGATCAGTGATCGACCTAAGACTCAATCACCTTACCAATCTTATAAAAAGTCAGGTTTTAAAACAATGGTTTAACGGATGGAAAGATGTTTTTACACATACAACTGATAAAACCGTACACCTGTAACATATTATTCAAGTATTTAATCGTAAAACGTCAAACTTGTTATATTAAATGATAATTTACAATGAAATGAGTTGTAACACTTTATTTTAGTACTGAAAGTTATGTGATTATAAGTTTCATGTTCCAGTAACGTTACCAATCTTGTAACGGCAACAAAAACGTCGCGGATTAAACAGTTCTCTTCAGCCTGCCAAATTCTGCAAAATACACGAACAAGGGAAAACTATAGAGTTCTTCAAGTTTCAGAAACTGTTTCCTGGATTTCTTTCCATGGATAGTGCTGTTTTGTTTGTTTTCAGATCCTACACAACGGAACTGAAATACACAGTTTGACGATGATTCGATTAAAGACCTCGTGTACAATCACAAGAAACTTTACGTGAAAAGTTCAACAAATTCATGTAAGTTGGAGAAGCTGATGAAAAGCTGGGAGAATTTCGGCAAGGATTGATATTTGATCAAGAAGTTAATAGAATGCATACAATTTAGATGAATTGAAGGCATTTATCTTTCGAAGATATGGCCAAAAGAAAAGAAAATGTTTGTAGTACTCATGAATTTATAGCATTTTACTACGATTTGAGAAAAAAAGAGGAAACAATTATGAAAAGGAGGGCATAAAGTCATAGGATAAAACCATCCACAAGAATTACGGTCTCTGTTCTTTGGTGATCTGGGATTGGTTCTCACTTCTGGGGAATTTGTTTGTTGAAACGTTGATTCCCATTTGGGAGAGATCACGACGCAGAAAATCGGCACCCTTGAACTGCAGACCGACTATGCCAACTTCAGTTGCAGCCTCCACGTTCTTTAACCTGGTGTCAGTCCAAGGCAATAAATTAGCGAGCAAAGTGAAGCTCAAAATGTACGACATTAAAACAAACCCAATCTCTTTCTATGAAAACATGTTAAGCCGATTCAGTAGGCAATGCTAGTCAACTTTCAAGAGATACCTATTAAATACAGAAAATAGTAACATTGATGTCTTCTAAAAGTCAGATTACTAGCAATAAAGATGAATTGTGCAGATCATTTTGACAGATACTTTACAAAAACTGAAGTTTTGAAATGATCCAAATCCAACTAACATGTCAAGAAGTAGCAATTTTGGCCCATACTTTTGGCAGACTACATCTAGTGGCAACGAGAATAGAAGACATGTAAATCGATTCATACAAGAAATCAAGATTCTATAAGAGTAATAGTTTAATATATATAGAAATTAGAAGGATACCTGTCATCAATGAAAATACAATCTCCTGAATCAACCTTCAGATGTCTCACGACTTCCAAGTAAAAATCAGGATCAGGTTTCCTCTTTCCTGAAAGAAGGCGAAAAACGTATCACTGTCCAGATGGACCAGGCTGTGCTAATGTCCACAACAGATACAGGAACAATCGTTGTTTTGCAGTAGAAGACTCTCTAAAACAGTCAGATGGCATTCAAAAAGAACATTAACTTGTTAGCTAAAATAGCAGAAAATCATGCTGATAATACAGGATACTTTGCACCACTGATCTAATCTCGAAATAAGAGATCAACAAAAAATCACTGGCTACCCTCTAGTTTGGAAGTGCTGGATGGCTCGCTGAACTATTGTAGTATAATTTGAGACAGAAACCTTTAACATCTTCAGTCATGGTTTGATAGCTCAGAACAAGCTCCTTTCACCAAAACATGCCATACGCGCTCAGGTATATGACATAATAATTTATCCCAAACAGTGAATGACTGTGGTTGAACTTACATGGCTTAACTGCCCTGCAAATTATGGATCACAACAACTCTCAAGCCTAAATTCATTCTCACAAGCTGTAACACAACATTGCTTTTATGATCACAATAATATTTATGTGGAAAAGCTAAAATCTACGAAAACCAGTACTAGCAAAAAGATAAGTATACTACACATGTATTAAACTGAACAGATTTCCCTCAAGCCTCCTTATACTCAAATGACGGAGAAAAAAAAAACATAGATACTGATAGCTGATTCATATCTTGAAGTTATGATCTTATTTCCAATATATATTACAAAATACTAGGTAGATTAAATTTATTCCTAATAGAACAAATGTCAATCTATACATGAATACTTGAAAATCTATAAAAAGAAGGCAAGGCAAGGATAATATTCTGACCAAAGAAAACAGACTAAATTTTGGTGTCACCAGCACATACTGAAACACACACATATACATCCAATTTAATATGTATGGGGTAAGAAAGCGAGTTCATGGTATCAAGCAACTTCAAACTAGTGAACATACCTATGGCACAGGAACAAAATGTCCATGATAAGTAAGTTGAGATATTTAATTTGTCCTCAATTATTCTGTACCTACAAAACATATTTTCAAGAAAATGATGAGCCATCCACTGTCAAAGGAACTGCCTTTGAAAAAACTGAAGATGCAACATTGAAATTTTGGAGCTGATAGTTTTACTGATGAAACTGACGCTTTGGATTTGAATTTGCTTTCAGATTACCATCGAGAGAAATTAAAACTCAACAATACTAAATATAGTTTCAACTATAATCAAACAACATAAGTGTCTTTAAGTGTATCATGTACTCTATAAATTGAAAGGCAACTAATCGGTTTAGTGAAGCGGCCTGTGCGCGCTACCGAGCTGGAGATTCCTCCATCTCACTGGCCACCATTTTGATAAAATGTTTTCATCACTTCCAATTTGGGAGGTTTTAGCTCTCATGTACCTTATAGACATATAAAAACAATAAAAATAAAAATTGATACATCTTGCAGGATGCAGAGCTGATTTAGAGGACAAAGAAGAAATTGCTTATTCTTTGTATGGAATGAGGATTGGCTAATGGATATGAAAGGTATTTATGCTATACATAGAGGAAATGTTTTACATTCATAAAAAGTCTTTAAACCAATTAGATGGGCACTCTCTGCAGAAGATATACAGCATGTGTGGGATACTCACTCTTTCCACTAACTTCAGTGTTTACAGAAATTTTAAGCAACGGCTATTATGTATTACCATATATGTTAAAAGAAAGAAGTTCGTGCATAAATTTCTTTTTTCTGTGCTTAGGTTGGTCAAAAGACCCTCCAAAAGTAAAAACCAAGTTCACCTTACCAGATAGGATAATTAGTGAAAGCATGCATCTCATAGTTGTTTTGTTTTAAATCAAAAAGCAATTCTTCAACACCTTCTATGTAATAATATCCTCTTCTCATACAATTTTTAAGTCCTGCAGAGATTTTTAGTTAAAATTAGTATTTTACAAATAAGGACGGATAGATCCATAGAAGAAAGAGAACATAGAGCATATCAGCATATCCAAGGAATAGTCATTCAGAAATAAAGATAAATCAGTATATCTGCAATTGATACTCAAAATATTACAATAAAATACAGTGTTTCACTTTGTAATTTGATTAATTGGTGGAAAGGATAAGAAAGACAGGCTAAAGTGATTCATGACATAAAGAAAATTACAAACAAAATGATAAGATACAGATCACTAACCAGTACAAAAATTGCTATTGAATAAGACTTAGATTTTAGTTGGATAAAAAGTTAATTAAAAATTTATTATCAATTATTCATATTTGCTTGGCTCACATATGTAACCAACACTTGTTTTGAAAAAGAATCTAAACAAATAATGCAGTTACCAACATGTAAGAAAAGAAAATAACAAATATAAGTTGCATTGTTACTGAAGCAAAACTCGGTTATAAAAAAGAATACATTTCATATGATTTCTTGTTCTAAAGTTCAAAACAATTTTCAGGCAAAACCCAGAACATGCTCTCTGCTCTAACATGGCAGGCACTAGATTGTCAAAGCTCATAAAAAGAGAAAACTACCAACCTTCCAAATCGAAAGGCCTTCCGTCTTTAAAGAATTTTCTGGCTAACTCCATCTAAAATAAGACAAAACACATTAGTATAGGACATTTGATAGGGACCAAAAGCAAAGAACAGCTCATTTAGATGATCAATTGATGTAAATTTAAGAAAGCAATAGAGTGGATTTTATAGCAGAAGGGAGTTATTCAGGCTAAAATCTATCAAATTTACATGACGAAGAGTATGAGAGAAATTTCCAAAAAAACAGGGGCATTACTTTGCAAGATATCCTCAACTTTTGGGAGGAGAGACCACTCCACATTTCCGACAAGTTAAACAATCCGGAAATAGTGATTATTGATCAGCAAGTTTAAATTCCAAAATCCAACTTGTGTTTCAATGCAATCCCAGACTTCGAAATATAAAAAAGGACACACAAACACAGAAAGAAAACAATAACATAACCATTATGCAATCAAAATATATACAAGGATATAAAATCCTTTAATGACTTTTCAAATTTCAAACATGAATTGACCTAATTACATAATAAAATTGATCACTCAGCATTCTATACTATACAAATTTAATCATTCAATACTACAAATGATGCCTCAAATTAATTTAACTGAAAAATGAGTTCTTTCAACTGAATGAAAGATAATATTTGGACATAAGTGTCGCACATACCTCATCAATCAGCCCCTTTTCGAATTCAAGCCATGCAGTTGGGTGCTTGCATTCTATTAGTTCCTTCATAGGCATTCTGAGCATAAATTCTCATTTTGATTATTGCAATCTTAATATAAGGAAATAACTGGAAAGATAAAGAGAAAGGCATGCTGAGTATCCAAATACTGTTTCTGAAAACTTCCAACCTAATGTATTTTCCTGAGATTCATATATCATTTGTTTCCAAAAAGTAAAAAAACTGTACCTTGTAAATAAAAAAATAAATTCTGATATTTATGCAAGCTCAGCAATCATAACACAAATAGGCAAAGCAATGGCCAATAAGGCATCAACAACAGTTATCTTCATCACCATGTTAGCACGTGTCCTTAACAAGTCTCTTGGTGAATAAGCACAACATCTCACACAAAACAAGATGCATCAATGCATTAGATGCGGTCGTCTATTACCTTTATAGACCCTAACTCAAGATGATTAACAATGTTTTTATGAGTTTCTACGGATTGGAAGCATTTACTTCTAGGCGTTAACTAAGCTCAACAGTCATTTTGATCATCTTAAAGTAAGAGAAGTGCAGAAAGATGCCACCATTTCATCAAGAACCTTTCTGAAGTTGCAAAATCATCATAAACCTCCCCTAAAAATTCCCAAAAACATTTAAACTCTAAGTTCTATAAAATTTATCATAACTAAAACCGCAAACACAAACACACTACAACTCAAGAAGCTTTTCTTTTTTATGTTATAATATCAGCAACAATTAAATTACACGATTCTCAATTGTATAATCAGAGATGGTATGGTTATATTTTAAATTATCGCATCAAAATCAACCGTTAACCAAAATAATATTCATCCTCATTGAATATGTTAACTTCTCCAATACAATACAATACCAACATTATAGAAATAACCATGATATTTAAAGAAACATTTATTTCTCTAAGTTTTAAAAGATTATCAGAAACTACCATTAAAAACAAAGTCTCCACCTATTCTCTAAACCAAACAATCTACTCTTCACGAAGCTTTCCCTTTCTTAGATTATAATCACATCAACATTGAAAAGTAGCATGAAAACTGAGAATATTTCATCCTCATTCAATGGTCTTAAGTATTAACTTCTTCGACATGATACTGTATCAGCATTATTGAAATAACCCACCAGCAAAACAACCCCACTATCTCTCTTTACCCTTTATTTGATCAGAATTCTTCACAAATAATCTAATTCTGCTCACACTAATTCATTTTCATTGCTTACGTAAAAGTTTTTTTTTTCCTTCAAAGGGCTTTGACTTTGGCGTCCCAATTTCTAACAAAAACATAAACAAATAAAGCAAAAGAGCGAGTACCCAAAGAAGGCAGGGACATCCTGGTAAAAAGGGTCGCGAACGATTGTGTCCATGATGTCAAAGAGCAGTATGGGGAGCTTTCTCTGTTGAGTTTGTCCACTCAAGGAGGCCATGAGGGGCCTTTTTGTAATGTTTTTAAAGCTGGGATTTAAAGAAATTCTTATGGGTTTTCTAGAGGAAGGTTTTAGAGGGATTGCTGTCGTTGAACTCAGTGTGGTAGGTACTCTCATAGACAGTGCTGCCATTCAGACTGTAGTTCCGAATTGTGTGGTGGGTTGGGTTTGTTTTGTTTGGTTCCCGGGAAAATGAAGTTGTATTATCATTTTAGTCCCTGTTGTTTTGTTTAATTTCTAGGTTTAATTTTTGACCTACCCTTACTTTTATTAGAATTCTAAAATATCTCCCTAGTCTGGAAACTATCCATCACGTTCCTTGTATGTATAAGTTGTATTGTACTATGTGATGATTCATAGGATAGTTCAATGAACCGAGCCGCTTGCGAGCTGGCTCGGCTCGGCTCATTAACGATTCGACTTGGTTGAATTCGAGCCAGTTTAACTCAGTTTGTGAGAGGTTACGAGCCGAGTTAGATCCTGACTCGGCTCGGCTCGTTAGGCTAGCGAGCCGAATCAGGCTCAAACTCGTAAGGGCGATTTAGGGTTTTTAAAGTAAGGGGGATTAAAAAAAAAAATTCAAAAGGAAAATGTTTTCAAAAATGAAAAAAATCCCCCCGATTTTTAAGCCGTAAGAACACGACTCCACCACTGTTTGTTGTAAACCCAATAGGAGTTAACAATTTTAGGCAAGTGTAAGCCGCCTCTAGTTTCTTTCCTTGTCGTCATCTGCTTCGTGGAGTCTCCTTCAAATCTCGCCGTCAAACGGCTCAAACCCATCTGCTTCGCCATTGTCTGCTTCATGAGGTCTCTTTCAAATCTCGTCGTCAAACGACCTAAACTCATCTGCTTCGGTGTCGTTTGCTTCGTGGGGTCTCCTTCAAATCTCGTTGTCAAACGACTCAAACCCATCTGCTTCGTCGTCGTCCGTCGTGTTTTCGGCTTGTCGCAGATGACAACCTTTCAAATCTCGTTGTCGCAGTCGACGTCAAGGTTGTTGTCTTGCTGAAGGTGTCAGCTTGTAAAGGTAATTATTTATGTGTGTTATTTTGGTCACAGATATGAATGTTATCTTGGTTTTAGTTTGATTAATTTAATACATACAAAGTCACACTCACACACAAACGAAAGACCCCATTCATCTTGGTTTTTATACTCTGTTTAATTCCGACCATCAATTCAGTTATCAAATATACCATCAATGCATTATGCAAAATATTTGATAACTAAATTGATGACCCAGGTCCCAGAAAATATTTGCTGCATGGTGAGGACCTCTAGAACCAACCAATAACTATCTACTCTAAATTTATAAAAAAAACTGCAGTTTTTCTTTTTTGCTGGCTCGCGAACCGGCTCGAACTCAACTCGTTAAGTCCATTTGCAAGCCTGGCTTAAAATCCATTTCCCCTTACACGAGCCAATCCAAGCCAAGAAATTCACAGCTCGGGTCGAAAATAGCTCAGGTGATGAATGCTAGCAACATTTTCTTTTTTACTCTTGCACTTCCTTCTTGATATAGTGTATAAAGACAGTTAAAAAAAAAAAAAAAAAAAAAAAAAAGGAAGGGGGTGGGGAGGAGGGGGGGTTGTTGCAAGCCTACAGTTTTTATAACAAAATCAAAATAGAAGTCAAATATCAAGAAGAGTAAAGGCTCCGTTTGGTTCACATTTTTGCATTTTTGAGAAAAGTTTTTTGAAAAAAGTTAAAAAAAAGTTGAATTGGGCGGGTATTACGATGTAAGATTTACAAATTAATAAAATACCCCATATGTTTGTTTATTTACAAAACATCTCGATAATAAAACAATAAAAGTTAACAAAAACACCCTCAACCTATCCTCAAATACGGACAGCAGGCCACCACTATTGGAGGGTGGCTGGAGTCGCCGCATAGGCGCATGACCGACTGGATCTTGCCAGTCGTGCGCCGATATGGCCTTTTCTAGCTACCCTCCGGTGGATCTGGCCGGCAAAGGCCAGATCTACGGCTAGATCTGGCCATTGACGGCCAGATCTGGCTGTATTTGCTCGTCAATGTCAACGACAGCCAACAAACGATCGTCGTTGATGGTCAATGACTACTGTTTGTTGGCCGTCGTTGACGTTAACGAGCAAATACGGCCAAAGATCTGGCCTTTTCCGATCAAATCCATTGTGAATCTGGTCGAAAAAGGCTAGATCGACGCACTACCAGCCAGATTCAGCCGGTAGTGCGCCATCCTATCAGATTCCAGCCATTTTCCGACGGTAATGGCCAAAATCTGGTAAATGTGGATTGCTGGGGTGTTTTTTAAATTTTTAAAAAAAATATTTAGGGGTATTTAATTAAATTAACAAATTTAGGGGGTTTAAAAAAAGTTAAATAATATTGTGAGTTTTTTGGTATTTTACTGTTTAACTTTTTTGGGAATACTAATAATAGTATTCCCAAAAACCAACCAAATGGAGCCAAAGACTTTCTCACCCAAGTTTGTCTTATTGACACTTTCCCACCCAAAGTTTATATTTCAAAATACCTTTGTATTATAAAATGAATGAATAAAACTATTAAACTTAGAGTAATGCTATGCGTACTCACGGATCTTACTAACCATCTTATTAACCTTTGTTAAAATTACATATGGTACCCATACTATGCTTGTGGTACCCATATTATGTTTTATATTTATAAAGGTAAGTATGATGGTTAGTACACTCGTAAGTACGCATAGTATTATTGTTAAACTTATTGAGCTCCTTATACTAATAACGTGTTATAATTTTAGCGGTGTGTTTGTAATAAAATAAACTAAGTAAGAAGGACCGAAAATAAAAGCGTAAAATAAAGAGAGCTGAAATGAAAAACTTCTATTAACTTTTTCTCACAATTGTGTTGTGTGTTTACAGGAGAAAGTGGGGGTTATTTATACAGCCAGCCGCCCACTTAGAACAAATAAAACTTTGACATGCTTAAGTGTATCCGTCATTTGAGTATCATAACGAGGGCCATGTGTTATAGTCTAAGGTACGTGACAGTTTTGGTGGATGCCCACCATTTACATTAACAAGTTTATATTATAACAAAAGAGTTTCTAGTTTGGTTCTTATTCACGCTCAAAATAAAAGTGAAAGGGTGACTTCCTGATTAGCAAAATTAGACATTTGATATGAATTCTTTTAACTTCAAGGAGATTGATCCGACGGTCAAAGAGGTTTGTTCATTTTATTGACTTTTAAGTTCGAATCTTGAGGCCATCTATCTCACTTGTGGCTTTTGTTACTATTATCCTTGTATAAGATAAGCTTAACAAATTTCAAGGGCCAAGGTTGAGAACCTTACCTCCAATCTCGATTTGAAACACACGTACATTTGTAGCTCAACTTCAACTCTAATCCTTGCCTTCAGTTCTAGGGGGGCATCTTTTCCCACCAACCCTAAAATTTTCCAAGGATCCCCTTGTCCAATAAAACTGGATTTTTCCAAGCAACCGATCCCGTCTAGTATTTTTGCCAAACCTAACATGAACAGTGGTTACCAATACCTTAGCAAAATCTGAGAAGTGATAAAGGTCAATAATAATTAAAGTAAAATGTTTGGGGAAATAATCAAAATTGAGCAAAAGCTCAAGGGGAAATCAATGACATTGAAGGGAGTTTATTACAAGACATAATGTCCCAATTCTAAATTATTATTGCTATACAAAGCGCTAGTTATAACTTATTTCAATGTATAAGACAATTCAATAAACAAACCAAGGAATGAAATTATTTAATTAACATTCTCTTTTTATAGCAAAACTTCGCCGGAATGCTTATCATGAGTTGACCGACCGGGACAGGAAATTATTGCCGGACTCTACAATCTTGATAATCTGGAAACTTATGGGATATGAATATGTTGCGTAGGTGGCCTCAAGCAGATGAGTTTACAACATCGTCTTGTACACTTTACAAATAAATTAGTAAACTGCTCTCCTGCTGTTGCTAAGATCACTTGTAAAATCATTGTCGTCATTTTCACATTGTTGCAGTAGTTCATTATACTCGGGATTATAAGCAGCTGGCCAGCAGCTAAACGCAGATGCTTTACAGCTTCAGCCTTGCGACCTACATTATATAAAGCACAGAAAAACCCAGTAGTTAGTGCCCAAACAATAGACCTAAATTGTAATGACGATATTGATCAATTCTGAGACAAGCGATTATCAGGTTATAAGTAAAAATACTTGAGAAATGATTGTGTAAATTCATACCTTGAAAGTAATACCAATCCATCATAATAATGGGCTTTGGAACTTTTTTCCTCTGGCTCTTCCAAATTTGCAATTCTTTCCAGGTGTACAATTCCTTCAGCCATTTTCCCCTGTAACATACAGAAGAAAGTGAAACAAACAAAAGAAAATGAATGCCTTTTTTCATCGAGTAATATATATTTAAGCCTGCCGACCCAACTCGAAAAGTTCACAAGTGGCCCATGGCTGGGTCCTAAAATTGAACTCAAATCGTAGCATAGTTTTGAGAATAATATGTTATGCTCATAGCCTTTTATTTCAGAAAAGCATCACTGAGTTTTACCTGTCTTATATAGGCAACACCAGCCCACTGAGAAGCAACAATTAGGAGATCAATATTTTCAACTTCTGTGGGATTGGCGGAGATGAAGAGCTGATGGGATGTCAAAGAAACAGGTTTTAGTTAATGACATACCAGATGTTGATATAAGCAAGAAAAAATACTTTCAAAATTTCCTGTCTTATATGCTCTTTCCAACATAATAATACACTTGTATTTAAAATTCTGTAATTACCAAAAATCATGTATAAAGCATGCTTCCCGCCTATATAAATCCTACTTTATATACTAAACATCTGATTGTGAAAAAACATAAGATAACTAAATTAAACTAGACGGACCTTGGAGATAGCACATTCCAACTATTCAATAGCCTCCGCTAGCAGTCCTTTCTGCAGTTGAGTCTGCCCTATAACTATCAAAGCATTTATGTAATCAGGATACTTCTCAAGCACCCGTCTGTCATCAAACGTTAACCACTTAGTGCAACAGCTATCATTCGATGTTTTAATAACAAAAAAACTACAGAAGGCGGAGGGAAGGAAAGGGGGCATAAGAAGAGAAAGTTACTGCAAAAAAGAAAATGCTGTTTCTTTCTGTCCTTTTGACAAGTGTTTGACTGAAAGCTGTCCAGAATCCAAACAACAAAGATGAAAGACAACATGCAACACAAACCTTAACATTCAAATTGAGGGTGAGGTTCTGAGTTTAGTCACTTACAGCTACCAGTTTCTTTAGGGTTAAAAATTATATATAAAGTACTTGAAAAACTATAGAAATAAGATGTGTAATTGTCATATGTCATCATTATAAAATTTATGCTGCATGTTGCAAGAAGCATGGCCAAATTGTATGGTTCAGAAACATATCAAGTCATTTGTAATCCAAAAGAAAGTAATAACAAGATTGGTAACACTAAAAGATATTAATCTATGAATACATAAAGACGATATTACTATAGTAAGCATTAATACATATATATTTATTGTTCTATACAAATATTTAAGCATGTTAGTGCCTTACATGATCAAACCCTGGATGACCCTCCAGTGAGATTTTGCGAATTCTGGTCACACCTAAGAGAAAACATGGGACCTGAAGAATTGAACAAAACACAACAAAATAAATAAGTACAAAATTTATTCAACCAAACTATATACTAGGCTACTGCTGTTTAAAGTTTCAGCCTAAAAGACAGAAGACAAATACATCAAAATACCAAAAGAATTAAGAAAAAAAAAAAAGCAAAGAAAACAATAATAGTACAGAAATAACTGGCTCTCTATATAGATTCCGGGCTTTTGAATCTAACTCAAAATCCTCTAACCCAACATCTATCTATTTCTTTCAGTTAGAAGATGTGTATTTCTTTCTATGTCTGTGTGTCTTGGCTTGAGATGGGAGAAGAAAGGTAAAGTTATTTACACAATATATATAGCTGTGTCACCTGGATGGACAAGGAGGCAAGGAACCACAGAAATGAGGGGCACCCCCTTGCTTTTGCTTCCCTCGGAAAAAGTGAAATTTGATCAATGAAAATCCTTCCTGACTGAGGTGGTGGCAATGGAGGAGGCACTATGAGAAGCACATATGAGAGTCAAAAAAAAAAATTTATTGCAAATTAAATATATGAACAACAATGAAAGGGGGAGGGAGAATGACCCTGCAAGAATTCCAGAAGAATGATCTAGTATCCAACTGTTAATGAGGACAATGACTAGAATTACATATACGACTCTCAACCTCCGAGGCAAGTCTGAATTTCATAATTCTATGCAGGAAAAGAAGAATAAATATCTCCACATATCAAACAATTGATAATAAGTACTGCAGCCTCACTTGGAATGTCTTGCAAAAAAACACATGCACAACAGAAACAGAAACTTGTACTGGTACACAGACCATTGTGTGCATAAATGCCCTTACCAACGTTGATGGCCATCAAAGACAACGATACAACATAAGCATCAGATAGACGAATTTTGGAAGAAACCTTCCATTCAAGGAAGAAACATTCCTCCCTTCTCTCTTAACGTATTGACCCCAAAACTACTTCTACTTCTACTCCTACTCCTACTCCAACTTTTGAAAAACAAATCATGGACAGGAGTATATACATCAGATACAGGCTTTGGGACACCAAAACATACCGTCAAGGTGAAGCAAAAACAAAAAAAATCAACAATATTCTAACACAATCTACACTCAAGTTGGTAAAAAATGCCAACTAAACTTAATTTTTTAATAGTTCAGTAGCTTGACAAACCTCTCATTAATTATTAACAAGCCAGTAATCTAGCATAACTTTAAATTCCACAAATATTAAGGTTTTACAAATCCTAATCTAGATATCATCTTCGGTCCACCTTATCGCTTATGATATCACACCTTCAAGAAAAGAAACTAGCATATAGCAGAATTTACTCTACTGCATTTGTTTTCAAGTTTTATTCTCTAGCGAATGTGTACTGCGAGAACTCCAAAGAACAAAGTAACTAGAGCTACAAACAAATTGCAAGTAAAACGAAAAAGCAGACTACATTTAAGAGATAACTCCTATCTTTCGCAGCTTAAGAAGCTGCAAAATAACAACAGGAAGCAACGAAAGTCTGAATGCCCAAGTCGCAAGTAGCAATAATTACCACCTGAAAAGTCCTTATACACCAATAATAAACAGAACATCTCAAGAGTGAATTTCATTAACCATGAAAAGGAAGATATAAAAGAATTTAAAGAAGAACACCAATTTTACAATTTATAGCGTTTGAGACAATTTTCCACTTCATGAAACACATTTACACACAAATAAGCTAGAAGAGCAAGCTTTACCAAGGGAAGCCGGAAGAATTATGACGAGCATCCAGCACCGAAATCAGAGTTTGAACAGGAAGAATTGAATCTCACCACTGCCAATCACTCCGTCACAGAAGTTAACAATCTCCACGGGATCGGCAAGGACTAAGCGCCGGAGTCAGTGAGCGAGTCGTCACTAGTGAACCGGAGTGGAAAAACAAGAACTCAACGGCGAGGTGGTGAAGTAGGGCGACTCTGACGGTTGGTGGTGATAGTGTCGCGCGAGGAGGTGATAGAGCGGCGGCGCGTGAAGTGGAGAGTAATAAAATTTTTCTATCTGTTTTTGAATAAGTAATAAAAATTTATTCTATCAGTTTTTTAATTTTATTTTTTCTTTTTTAAAATAAAAACTTTCACTCTAAATTATGTTTAAATGAAGATTGAATATATATACAATCATAGGAACAATCAAGCAAAGTAAATTATCACAATTTCTTTTTGATCAATAATACCGAATAAATAATAATGATAAACTATGATTCATACCATTTTCACTCTATGAAAACCCCATAAATTTATTATTTAAAATGTATAATTTCAAATATAGAATATGAAAAATTATCATACAGTTAATATAATGAGATTTATTATTTAAAATGTATAATTTGTTTTTTTTTAAAAGAATAAAAAACAATATCACATAATAAATTGAGCTTATTATGTGAATATTACACAGCTGAGTATATAATTTTAATTACTAAAATATCCTTAAAATAATGAAAAAGTGAAATGCAGGTGAAATCAGAATGAAAAAGTTGGGAAAGAGACACGTGGGGCCGTCATATAATAAACTTAAATTAAATTTAAGAAGTAGTATTTATTTTATAATTTTTAACTAAACTATGTTTATGAAAATTTATGCAAATCATTTATCAGAGGAGGCATATTCATTTATATAATAAATAACTTGTTACCTGATTGGGCTTTATGTTTAAAAATAATCATTAGATTTTATATACAATTTTCTGTATAATTGACATGATGATATACATAACAGATTGCATATAAAAAGTGTATTGGGTTGGGAAACTCTTGGCAACTAGCTAGGCATGAATGTTGATAAAGTTATTCATTCAATCTCAAATCTTAAAACACTTTACCTTTGTTAGCACATCACTTTCTCAACTTGGTCACCATTATCCAAACCTCATTCCTTCCTTTTAATCTAAACACAAATCAATTTGTATTAATATATACTGTTACTCTATTGAATTGAATGTCATATTTATATACATTTAATTCAAATAAAGTGCATCAATGAGAAGATCATCAATGCAAAATAGTAAAACTTTACAATATTAATTACAACATGTAATGTAGCTCTTTCATCATTAACTACATACCTTTTCTCTGAAAATACTCTTGAACTGTGGCATTCAGGTTGCCATTCCAAAGTTCTCCATCCCATGTTCGCACTTTGTTAAGCTTGGGTGTCACTTGCTCTCCATAACCAAAGGTCTTTATTTTTCCACACCCACTTATCTCTAGCCTCTCCAATGCTGGGTATTCAATAGTATATGATCTAGAGCTAAAACAAGTGAGACTATTTAGATAACAAAGGTGCAAGTTGTACAAACTAGGAAACACTATTCTTTCTATTAATGCTTCTTTTTCTCCTTTCTCATTTGTGACTATTTCTTCTATTGTTGAGCATATCCTTATTTGAAGACTTTTGAGCTTCACCAGGCATTTGACAATGGAAGGGGTGAAGAGGTTTTTTAATTTAGGACACCAAATTATTGTTATAGAAGTTAGGTTTCCCAAACTTGGGGAGGTTATGGTGTGGTCTGGAGGTTGGGTTGGATATTGTCCATGACATAATTCAACAAAGTTGGAATTAAAATAGATAACCAATTCCTCTAAATTGTAGAAAATTGAGTTTGGTGTCCATTCCAATGTATTTAGGAGATACTTTATCTCATCACATGATGAGATATTAAGATACTTCAATTCATTGAACCCTTCTTCAACTAGGTTATGACTAATACTCTCTAAATTAGCAATTTTCTCTAAAACTAGATACTCAGTTCTTTTGAGCAAACCTTTATCCCAATCATGTATTTTTGAAATGTTAGTTTTTGAGACATGCATATTTCTTGAGTATCTACTCTCATCCAAATAATCCTCATAGAAATCACTATAACCTATTCTTAATTTAAATTTGGACAGGTTATTTTGGAATACCAACAATTTTGGTGAGAGGTCAAGGTTTGAAATAAAAATCTCTAAATGAGTCAATCGGGACAAGGCTTCTAATTCAACAAGATTGGTATTGCTTTTCAAATTCTCACTTTCTGATTCCCATTGCTTAAATCTATTAATGTACAACTCCTCTAACTTTGTAAGAGAGGGTATAACACCATGAGGTATTAGCGTTAACTTCCAACAATCATGCAAATCTAATAACCTTAGATTACTTAATTGGCTAAAGGATACAGGGATCTCTTGAATAGAAGATGTGGAAAGGCTAAGAATCTCTAGTTTACTTAGACTTCCAATCACTGATAGGTCCCCCAAATTGCAACCACTAAGATTTAGTGCTCTAACAGTTGAAAGAAATGAAAGTGATTCAGGCAATGACAAGAGTTTAGTCCAACTCAAATCTAAAACACAAATCAATTTGTATTAATATATACTGTTACTCTATTGAATTGAATGTCATATTTATATACATTTAATTGAAATAAAGTGCATCAATGAGAAGATCATCAATGCAAAATGGTAAAACTTTACAATATTAATTACAACATGTAATGTAGCTCTTTCATCATTAACTACATACCTGTTCATTGAAGTAATCTTGCACTGTGGCATTCAAGTTGCCATTCCAACGTTCTTCATACCCCTCGACAAACACTTTGTTAAGCTTGGGTGTCACTTGCTCTCCATAACCAAAGGTCTTCATTTTTCCACATCTATATATCTCTAGCCTCTCCAATGCTGGGTATTCAATAGTATATGATCCAGAGCTAAAACAAGTGAGGTTGTCTAGAAATAAAAGATCCAAGTAGTACAAACTAGGAAACACTATCCTCTCTATTGATGCTTCTTTTTCTCCTTTCTCATTTGTGACTATTTCTTCTATTGTTGAGCAATTCCATATTTGAAGACTTTTGAGCTTCACCAGACATTTGACAATGGAAGGGACGAAGAGGTTTTTTAATTTAGGACATCCATCTATAAACATAGAAGTCAGGTTTCCCAAACTTGGGGAGGTTATGGTGTGGTCTAACTCCTCATCCAAAGCTTCTTTCTTCTCAAAGATCTCCTCTAAATTATTGCAATATCTTATATATATTTCTTCCGAACAAATAAGGCTTTGGAGTAGACTTGGTACAACATTTAACATGTTGTGGCACTTATACACTGTTAAAAGTTTTAATTTACTAAATGATGGGCCTGGAGGTTGTCCATGACATACTTCAACCAAGTTGGGGTTAAAATACATATGCAATTCCTCTAAATTGTAGAAAGTTGAGTTTGGTGTCCATTCCAATGTATTTAGGAGATACTTTATCTCATCACATGATTTGATATTAAGATACTTCAATTCATTGAACCCTTCTTCAACTAGGTTATGGCTAATACTCTCTAAATTAGCAATTTCCTCTAAAACTAGATACTCAGTTCTTTTGAGCAAACCTTTAACCCAATCATGTATTTTTGAAATGTTGGTTTGTGAGACACGCATATTTCTTGAGTATCTACTCTCATCCAAATAATCCTCATAGAAATCACTATAACCTATTCTTAATTTAAATTTGGACAGGTTATTTTGGAATACCAACAATTTTGGTGAGAGGTCAAGGTTTAGAATATTAATCTCTAAATGAGTTAATTGAGACAAAGCTTGTAACTCAACAAGATTGACATTGCTTTTCAAATTTTCACTTTCATATTCCCATTGCCAAAATCTATTAATGTACAACTCTTCTAACTTTTTAAGAAAGGATATTACACCACGAGGTATTAGTGTTAACTCCTCACAATTATTCAAATCTAATAACCTGAGATTACTTAATTGGCTAAAGGAATCAGGGATCTCTTGAATAGAAGATCTGTAAAGGCTAAGAATCTCTAGTTTACTTAGACCTCCAATCATTGATAGGTCACCCAACTTGCAACCACTAACATACAATGTTTTAAGATTTGAAAGAAATGAAAGTGAATCAGGCAACGACAAGAGCGTCAATCCACTCAAGTTTAAAACATTAAGATTTTTCATTCCTTGAAAGAAATTCTTAGGAAAAAAAATCTCAAAATTGCCTTGCAACATCAAAACCTGCAACTTTGGGCATTCCAACTCATTAGGTAGCTCCATAGTATTATTTAACATCAATGAGATGCATGTGAAATCTTCATAATCTGTCCACTCTCGTAGACAAATGCCAGCTTTTACCATGAATTGGTGGTTGTATTTAGGAGCTATGTTTAATGCGAAATCCCGCACTACATCATGCATTTTAACATACTCTTCACCATCATCAATTAAGAGAAAGGAAGAAGTGATGGTACTTACAATAGCATGAACTCTACCTCTGACATCTTCTATTGTCTCATCAACATCTTTAAACCACCTCTGACCAATCGCGTATCTCACTAAAACTTCAATTGGAATTTTGTAATCCTCTGGAAATAAGCTACAAAATAAGAAAAGTGATTTTGACTCCACTTTTTCTAGATAATGCAAGCTCAGCTCCAAAGATGAAAATAAGATCCCCTCCACGCCTGGGATGTCAGATGGGTTGTACTTTTGAAGTTGTCGTGCCGCGTTTCTCCACACATGCTTGTTCTTGCCCTTTAAAGCTCCTGCTATTATCACAATTGCAAGTGGCAAGCCACCACATTTAGCAGCTATCTCTCTTGCAAAAGAGCTTATGTCAGAAGTTTCGACATTTGAGCCCACAATCTCGCTGAAAAGTGCCCAAGATTCTTGTTTTGATAAAATTTCAACTGTAAATATCGGTTGACACTCCATTTGATTACATACAGTTTTGCTTCGAGAGGTGATTAAAATTTTACAACCTCTATGGTCACTCCCAAAAGGAATACCAATCTCATCCAATTTGATTCTTTCCCAAACGTCATCCAACACGACAAGAATCCGCTTCTCTTTCTTGATTCTCTCCCACAAGAATCATACATCTTTTCTTCTTTTACTTGTTTGCTGATCTCTTTGACCAGTATGGTCTTACCCACGCCCCCCATTCCACATATTCCAATTATGCTAACATTATGATCATCGATTAGCACCTTCACAATTTGCTTCTTAATTGAATTTCTAGATTCAAAAGTGCCCGAAGAAAATAACTTCGATGATGATATAATTCCAGGCGGAGGAGCAGGACAAGACACACTCTCAAACTTTCCCACTTCTTGGAGCTGATCAGAAATCACCAGTGTATGTTCCTTTGCCTCCTTACTGAATCGATAACGTTGTTTGAGATTAACACACCACCCTTTGAGGCACCTCTTGTTGGCTTTGTCTTCATCTTCAAAAAACTTTTCAGCTTTTGCGGAAATATTATCCACTTCTGCTATCCAGCTTTGAACATCAGGAAAAATGTTTTCTCCATTGCTTTTAGCAGATTCTATTTTCATTCTCACCTTGTCTCTGCTATCTTCCAACTTCTTAGCCTGCTTTTTCAAGTTTTCAACATTGTCGTTGTAATGAAACAAGTAACCAAGTTCACGGCGAGCTGCATCAAACAGACTATCCGCGACCTTCCCAGCAATTGGAGAAACAATTTGCTCTGCCATATCTGGGGTATAAAGAGAGAATTCTATTTGAGTATTCTTTGAAGGTGGGAGAAGGATAAAGTAAGGGATTTGAAGGAAAGGTTTAGGAGAAATTTAGTGGCTTAGTTTGCAACAAAGAGGAGGACACAAACACAATCAGATGAAGAAATTAATTAAAGAATGAATGATTGAGTGTTGTGAAATGGTAAGAACAAACGGCAAAGAAGTGAAATGATTTCAAGCAAGGCTAAAGAGAGAATTCTATTTGAGTGATTGAAGGTGAAAGAAGGATAAAATATAAGCAAAGGTATTTAGGAGAGATTTTGTGAGCTAGTTTGTAACAAAGAGGACAAATGCAATTTGAGAAATGATAAGAATAAGAAAAGCACAAATTAAAAGGAGGAGGAGTATATAAATGAAATAAGAAAAGAGAAAGGTTTGAGCGAAGAAAAGTGATTTATCTGAAGAAGGAAANAAAGAGAGAATTCTATTTGAATGATTGAAGGTGAAAGAAGGATAAAATATAAGTAAAGGTATTTAGGAGAGATTTTGTGAGCTAGTTTGTAACAAAGAGGACGAATGCAATTTGAGAAATGATAAGAATAAGAAAAGCACAAATTAAAAGGAGGAGGAGTATATAAATGAAATAAGAAAAGAGAAAAGTTTGAGCAAAGAAAAGTGATTTGTCTATAGAAGGAAAGCATGTAATTCATCTTCTGCCTTTGCTGTCAAGCCTGCTTGGTTCCATCCTTATTAATTACAACATATATCTTTCTTTACTTTTATAACATGTTAATTTTTATGATCTACAATTAATTTATTCAAACTCAAATGTAGATATATTCTATAAGAAATGTCTTCAGAAAGAGAAAATCAATATATATATTGAGCATGAAGAATACAATCAGCTGAGTATAAAAGCAACAATCAAATTTTACGTATAAAATCATATAAGTATAGCAAGATATATATTTAAAATCTACTTCATTTTTAACTCTTGTGTTAAACTACTTTGATAATATATTGTTTGCGTCATGAATGATAAAAAGTAAAGAAAGAAAAGCACAAAAAGAAGAAGGAATATTTATATGAAATAAGAAAAGAGAAAGGTTGCAGCATAAAGCAAAGAAAATTAAATGGTGTGAAGAAGGAAGGTATGTAATGCATCTTTGAGTGAAGAAGGAAGGTATATATGATTTCAAGGAAGGGTATTTAGGAGGACGAACACAGAATAAGAAAAGAGAAAAGTTTGAGCAAAGAAATGTGATTTATATGAAGAAGGAAAGCATGTAATTCATCCTAAATTTTTTTGAATGATTCCATCCTCTGCCTTTTATTCCAAGGCTGCTTGGTTGGCATACCAAAGTTTTACTCTCTTCACTACAAAGACTTATGGATTGATGGTCACCATTCCATATATGTGACAACTCGGGCAATCTTCCAATTCTAGAAGCTCTACGATGATAGTAACTTGGTTTCTCCCTCCGCAATCTTAATATCTTTACAATCAAATATATACGCCAATGATTCACAAGATGCGATTAAAAGACACTTCAATTCATTGAACCTTTCAACTAGGTTATGACTAATATCTTTAATTAACAATATCTCTAAAAGTAGACGCTAGTTCTTTTGAGCAAACCTTTACCCAGTCATATATTTTTGAAAGTTGGTTTGTGAGACAAGCATATTTTTGAGTATCTACTCTCATCATAGAAGCACAAAAATTCACTATAACCTATTCTTAATTTAAAGTTGGATAGGTTATTTTGGAATACCAACAATTTTGGTGAGAGGTCAAGGTTTGGAATATTAATCTCTAAATGAGTTAATTGAGACAAAGCTGTAACTCAACAAGATTGACATTGTTTCAAATTTTCACTTTCATATTCCCATTGCCAAAATCTATAATGTACAACTCTTTAACTTTTTAAGAGAGGATATTACACCACGAGGTATTAGTGTTAACTCCCAACAATTATTCAAATCTAATAACCTGAGATTACTTAATTGGCTAAAGGAATCAGGGATCTCTTGAATAGAAGATCTGGAAAGGCTAAGAATCTCTAGTTTACTAGACTCTAATCATTGATAGGTCACCCAACTTGCAACCACTAACATATAGTTTTAAGATTTGAAAGAAATGAAAGTGAATCAGGCAACGACAAGAGCGTGAATCCACTCAAGTTTAAAACATAAGATTTTCATTCCTTGAAAGAAATTCTCAGGAAAAAAAATCTCAAAATTGCCTTGCAACATCAAAACTTGCAACTTTGGGCATTCCAACCATTAGGTAGCTCCATAGTATTATTTGACATCAATGAGATGCATGTGAAATCTTCCATGTATCTCTATTTGTCCACTCTCGAGAACAATGCCAGCTTTTACCAAGAATTGGTGGTGTATTTAGGAGCTATGTTAATGCGAAATCCGCCACTACATCATGCATTTTAACATAATCTTCACCATCATCAATTAAGAGAAAGGAAGAAGTGGGTACTTACAATAGCATGAACTTTATCTCTGACATCTTCTATTGTTCATCAACGTTTAAACCACCTCGACCAATTGCGTATCTCACTAAAACTTCATAGGAAAACATAAAGAAAGCTGAGAAAGAACAATCACATCCCCCTGTTTGTGAAAAAGATTGCATATAAAAAGTCAAAAACATTACCAACCGGCATAAATGTTGATAAGCTTATTCATTATATCTTAAATCTTAAAACAATAGGATAGGGTTACTCTATTGAATTGAATGTCATATTTATATACATTTAATTCAAATAAAGTGCATCAATGAGAAGATCATCAATGCAAAATGGTAAAACTTTACAATATTAATTACAACATGTAATGTAGCTCTTGGATCATCAAGTACATACCTGTTCATTGAAGTACTCTTGCACCGTGGCATTCAAGTTGTCATTCCAACGTTCATTCCATATTCCTAGAACTTTGTTAAGCTTGGGTGTCACTTGCTCTCCATAACCAAAGGTCTTCATTTTTCCACATCTCCATATCTGTAGCCTCTCCAATGCTGGGTATTCAATAGTATATGATCCAGAGCTAAAACAAGTGAGGTTGTTCAAATAAGAAAGGCACAAGAAGGACAAACTAGGAAACACTATCCTCTCTATTGATGCTTCTTTTTCTCCTTTCTCATTTGTGACTATTTCTTGTATTGTTGAGCAAAACCATATTTGAAGACTTTTGAGTTTCACCAAGCATTTGACAATGGAAGGGGTGAAGAGGTTTTTTAATTTATCACAATCATTTATTTGTATAGTAGTTAGGTTTCCCAAACTTGGGGAGGTTATGGTGTGGTCTAACTCCTCATCCAAAGTTTCTTTCTTCTCAAAGATCTCCTCTAAATTATTGCAATACCTTATATCTATTTCTTCCAAACAAATAAGGCTTTGGAGTGCAATACTTTAAAACGGTATAAGTCAATGACCAAGGTAATACCTATGCTTCAACCCTCATCAGAATAAGCGTGCATATGGCTCACACAACAGAAACTAATTAATGGGGTCTGATGGGGATTCTATTCGGAAGAGTAGTAGGATTAGGACTCCTAATCCTAAATATAGAAATGCGCAGTGGTAGGATAAGAATAAGGGATAGTATGAAGAGTTGTTTATCCTTATCAGTTATTTGCATGTTAGCTTTCTCGTATCTGAATTGTAGGAATACCAGGTTGTAGAGGTGAGCCTATTTAAAGAGAGTCTTTGCGTTAGAAAGGATTATTGAGTATTTTGATTAACACATTGCGTTAACGGTGTTCCTACCTAAGTGAGTATCAATATTATATCATCTTCCTGTTCCATTTTACGTTCAATCCAAATCCATAGTTCCATCACAATTAACGTATCAGGGTCTTGCTCAGGCATTGCAACACCAGAAAGATGAACTAATAGGCTTCAATCCGATTAAACCTATAAATAAATTCAAGTAAGTTGGAAATCATCTCATGCTAGGTTGTAACTGTCATTTGTTTGCGAGCAAACCAATCAGGTCAAGTAGTACTTGTTTTAACGCTTCTTTAACAATTTGTCAACAAACACACCACATGTAAGAAACCATTCCTCACAAGCATTTCATAAACATGTTGCATGAAGAAACATTCCTCAAAAGCATTCCATCAAACATGTTCTATGAAATGCCTTAACAAACCCAGAAAGTGCAAAACCCAAAACTACACAATTTTAGCATATAATCAGCACAACATAAATATTATCTTTACCTTTACTAGAGTTGGTTACATTGTCGGGATCCCATGAGACGCCTCTTGTTTGCTTTGACTTCATCCTCCAGAATTTTCAGCTTCTGCAGTGATTTTATCGATCTCTGACATCCAGTTCTGAGCATCAGTTTCTATAATTTCTAGATTCTTTAACGGCTTCCTTTTCTTTTACAACCAGCAAGTTTTTGGGTTTCCAAATTGAGATCAAAAATACATACAATCTTGTATTATCATAATTACTATGCAGGGTATCAAAAGCAATCACAATTCACAAACTCTCATAAAAAGCAATCACAATCACATAACCCTTCTTCTTCTTCTTCTTCTAGCATAAAACAGATTTCTGGTGTCAGTAAACATGTATAATTCAACAATATGGAGTGCTGCAACCTCAGAGGGATTGAATCTTGCTAAAATATGATTCATACCTTTTTTACCGTCTACTTTCAATTCATCCTCTTGTTGAATAACCTTTCAACTTCAAAATTTTGTTTAATTTTTGTATTATTATTACACTTTAATTTAATTCATTTTATTTAAAATGTTTTAAAATATTTATTAATTTTTAAAAATGTCTATTTCTTCAACTACATTATGACTAATATTCTTTAAATTAGTATTTTATCGAAATTAGATACTCAGCAAACATTAACCCACCTATATTTTTATATAATCCTAGTCCCCCCTCTCTATTAATCCCATGTTGGATTCCATGTAGGATTCCCCGTAGGATGCCACATATGGATTTAAGACTCTATTAATATATGATTGCCGT